CACAGATGCCAAGGATACAGGGGGCCGTCGTTCTGCGAAGACGGCTCCAAACAGCTCTTTGCGAAAGATGTCGGCCAAGGAGATCAGGTCCATGAAACGGGCCCAGAAAGCAGCCACCAAAGCGTACAATGAGATGAAGGAGGACCGTGCCAAACAGGAGACTGACAATGGAACTACGGCTACGGCAGTGGCAGAGTCTGGGCCTGTAACTACACCGGTCCAGACTCTTTCAGCCAGCTCCAAAACCTGTGCGCGTCCGAGACATGCTACCTCTTCACGGACTCCCAAGCCTGTGCCTCCGCAGACTCGAACTACATGCAGCAGGAAAGGATCCATCCGTGAATCCTTTGCACGAAGTGGTCGATTGGATCCTGATGTAGTGCCTCTTCAGCCGACGACGACAGCAGCGTCCGAAGGGACCCCTGGCACTACCGGTGACACTCTGCGTACTGCTGATGGTGTCTATTCTTCCACCTCTACAGTGCCGCCTGTGCAGGACGACATCATGATCCAGCGACAACAGCAGCTTCTTGCCATGCAGCAGTACGCAGCCAAACGACGCTCACAGATCCGGCAGCAAGCCCTCTTGGTACAGCAACAGGCTGCTGATGCTGCTGCACCTGCAGCTGCAACTGCTGCAAATGCTGTGGACACAGATACCCATGTGGAAGTCTCGGCTACAGCATTCACTGATCGAGCTCATGCCTCCTCCGAGTATATGAAAAAGCCACTTTGTGTTTGCAGTCTGGAGTGCATGTCATGGCGGACGTACAGCGTCCTTCCTGCATATGCAGTATTCTTCCATGCCTTCTCAGGTCACTTCCGTGGGCATTGGTCATTGCCTCAACACTCTTTGGCCGCTCCCTCCACAATCTGGATGGAATGCAGTACATTTTGTTTCTACTTGTTGTTGGGAATCAGGATGTACCTCCACATCGTGGCTGTGCGGAAGTGGATACAGGCATGGTACGTTATGTTGGCCAGGCTGCTTTGCAGAATTGCAATGTCCTTTTCTTCAGTCATGCAATCTGAACCACGGGATGACCATTTGCTGCAATGGATGCAAACTACACGTTCTTACCTTTATTGGCAGCATCGGTGGTGCATACACAATCTTCAATACTTTGGATCTTCTATTTCCACACTTTATAACAACATCGGGACGATCATGTCTTTTTCGAACGAGCCTCCGGGTCCCAAGTCCCGGAACGACCCGCGGGCCAGTCTCAGGCATTCTCACTACTCTTCGTTTCGACTGGTCTGGTTTCGTTTTCTTCTTTTCTACTTTGTCATCAATGGGGTCGTAGGAGCGAGGGTTGCCTCTGACGCCACAGAGGCAGGATCACAGGAGCCTAGTGCAACTGTGACAAGCGGCGGAAGCCTTTCCACACGGCATGGGAAGAGGGCGTTGTCGCCGTGCACAACGCATGTCCTTACAGCTCGCTACGTTCGGTCACCGGACAGCGCTTCAAAGTCAAAAGTTAGTGTCATCGGAAGGAGGCTTGGGGTGGGCAGGAATGGGATGCTCCTCGTGAGTTCGAGAGGGGCAGATGATAGTACCGAGAAACGAAATCGAGACCTTGTTGTCAACACAGAAGACAGCGGCATAATCACTCCTGTACGGTGCAACGAGAATCGCATCTCCAAAATTGGTCAAATAGACGCCCCCTGTATAGGAAACATGCACGTGCCGCCCTTGCTGGAAGAACTGCGGTAGAAGGACACTTCCCTTGCCTGCCAAAGCAAAGGCGGCGTAACAAGCGCCACTAACGTCAGCTCCTGGAGGTTCAGGGCATCACGCATCGTCCCACACGCCAAGGGGACACTGTTCGAGTATTTGCAGCCACAAGGGCACTAGCTGAATGTGCTTTTGCCCTTAGTCTCGCTGCCGGTGCTGTGCGTGTGTGCGTGTTTGGTCGACCACCCCTCCCCCCAATGCCCCGCCTCTCTGAGCCAGTGTCCCCAGCTTAGAACTTCGGTGAGAGATCATCGAGGGAAGAGCTTTGTTCCTGCGATGTGGGCTGTCTTGCCCAGTGTCCAATTCCAACCCAAGCCGCCCGGCTTGGGGGGCGGGCCCATGGAGGTTCGGGTGGCACATCCCTCCCCTAATCCTCGGCTCGGATCGAGGGGCCCGGAGCGTTGAACTCTGCACCGGAGCCTCGATGGCGTATGCGGAGGGGCAAAGAAGGCGAGAGGGACCGTTTCCGTAGGCCGGAGAGCACCCCAGGTCGACACTCACTCACTCACTCACTCACTCAGAGAGTTGGGGATCCTGGTGTGGCCCAAAAATCCCTAGGGCAACTTCACGTCCGCCTTCGCTGGGGTCCTCACAGCTGCCGGGGCAATCTTTCAGTGCCTGCAGGATAACATCTTGATGATGACTACCTGCGGCGCTTTTAAGGTTAATGTGCAAGATTGGAATAGGCTCTTGGGTTGCGACACATTCGTACTGCAACACCTTGAAGCGAGCAGAGTAGGCATAGCGCTCGATCGCTAGTTTGTCATCAGCGTTACCTCATGGGCATTGCTGTATCGCCTCCAATGCTGCTCAGGCTTCTCAAGGATAGTAGGTTTGGCAGCAGATGGTAGAAGCACACTGGTGTCTTTAATGAAGTATTCAATCAACACACCAGTATCAAGTGCACCATAAGCCGACCAAAGGGTCGCTTCATCAGCGGCGGGAATGACAACATGCAAGGCAACTTCCTGAATCCCTTGACAGTCTAAGAAGGCATGTCTCACATATGTCGGAGTGACTCCAAGACTTCGAAAGATCTGCCTGCCCTGCTCAAGATCAAGCGTTCCTCGGAGGGACCTGACTTGTAGATGAACCTCCGGAACAACAGAGGGGCAAACACACTCGACAAAATAGGACCGGGTAGTAAGGTGCGTGCCTGGACAGTGATTTCTCGGAATGAACTTAAAAGCACCTCGCACCTTGCTCTCTGGCAAATCTACCGCATTGTGTCGTAAAGCACCAATAAAGGCTTGGTAACGAAGCCGTGTGGTGCGCAACACAAGATGCTGTCTCACAATTACTGATAAGCATGCCGCATTATAGCATCAATGTGTTGATCTTGATGCGTAGAGACCGGAATGTTACAAACTGTCAATGCCTGCACCTGCTCAAATGCATCAAGAGGAAGAGAGGAGGAGAGATGGCTGAGAACATCACACGGCAGCTGCGAAACGTAGATGTGGAGGTTGGGAGAAGCGCCTCTGTGGCAAGCAGCATTAGCAAGCGAGACGTATGTTTCCAACATTCCAATGGCGCGCGCAGCAATGTCGGCATTGAGGTGCTGATGCCGAATGCCAAATGTGACTCCGAGCATGCGATCTTGGGTGGTTCTCCGAAAGAAAACCTGATCGCGTAGCTTCGCAAATCCCATATGCAGCCAATTGTCAGGAGATGTCTCCAAAGCTGCTTGCAGGTTTCTCTGGCAGCAACGTCACGAGCAGTCAGTCATTGCCATCAAACCAAAAATCGCACCTGAGCCCACCACAGTGAGAACAAATAACCAGTACGCAGAGTTTAGGGCAGGATCTGCAAGGCAGGATTTGGGGGAGGGTCCGCAAGCAAGCGTTTGGAGGAGCATACACGAAAAACATGAGGGGTGGCATGTGCAAAAACTTGTAGGGTAGTCCACCCACAAGTTTACGGGGGCCTTGGCCATGCGAGGGTTTAGGGAAAGATCAGGCAGGACTTCGGGGAGGATCTATAACGAGACTTTATGAAGGAGTTATGGTTTTTATCGAGTGCAGCAGCAGTCAGTCATTGACAGTCTTCTTGTTTGCATATTCAGCAACCTCCCCCCCGCCCCTTCAATTTCAATGTGTGCCGCAATGTGTGCCGCAATGCTGATTGGGCGCTTCTATGTAAACATTGAATTTGGGGGGAGCGGGGGGTCTGGAAGGTTTCAAGATTTGTGGACAAACAATTCCAAAATTGTACTATCGCGCGAGGCCATTTTCAGTGTTCGAAAAACCACGAAAACTGTAGGACGCATTAAGGTACCCCCATAGAACGACACCACAGCCACTGCGTTGTAGGTTTTTAAACTTCACCGTGCGAGGAAGCCTAACAGTTTTGGAGCAACTGTAGATCAAACTAGCAGCAGTTAGAAAACAGAGGGAGTCGCCAAAGCTTTTGATGAAACATTACATCCCTGCCCTTTGTACACACGTTGCTTGAACAGTTTTACATGTGTTAACACGTGATTTTGGCATGAGCCCAATTTCATGGAGCACATTGAATTGCAGAACTCCGCTACTTACCAGGCTCTGAGTTTGTGGAAAAGTCCGATTACGTTTTCATGGTAGCGGAGCTGGGCCGACCCAGCTTCGAGACACGTGAACCTTCTTTGGGTTCTGTTCAGGGGCCATCGGGCTTGAACTTTTCTCTTCTGACTTTTGGGTTGAGGGCCTAGGTGTGTAGTCACCTTCAGCCCCGATTCGCTCGCGCCTCTTCCCGGCAGCACGGCTGCCTCTTTGGCTTCTCTGGAGGCCATCAAGGCCAGAGTCACAGAACTGCATCTTGAGCAACTGCTGCAGCGTGAACGCCCTCCTGGCAGATCCGCTGAAGGGTGGCAGAATATCTTGAGTACCGCCCAACGTTCGCTGGAGGCGAACTTGGCTTCTCTGGAAACTACTCAGCAGGTGTGGGACTTTGCCCACCGGTGTTTGAAGGACAGCCACCTCAAGGAAGTTTTTCGGTTCTTTGCAGTTGACGACGTGTGTGAAGAAGCAATTCCTGAAGCCTTGATACACAACACAGTTTTTGCGACAGAGGAGCGCGAGTTGTTTGAGCGAGATTTGGAAGCTTTCAGTTTTTCTACAGGTGCTGCTTCGAGTGAGGCCGCGTTCTCCGAACTGCAGGCCCCTCCGGACCAGCCGATTGATTTGCAAGGGCCCGAGCCCCGACGCACATTTGGTGCCAATCTTTGTTTGAACAGTTGCAAGGAGGTGATTGATATTGATTGATTGCCCTGCTTTACAGAGCAATGGCGAATATTGGTGATGAGACAGATGAGGAGCTTACAGGCCCCTCTGGAGCCACCGCCTCAGCGCAACCATTTGGTCCTGCGCCCTTTGCACAGCCAACGCCTACAAATCCTTTTCAGCCAACAAGCCCCACCAATGCTGGAACTGAGATTGCTATGACAGCTGCCGACTTGAGAGTTCTTATGCAACGCATGTCAGAGGCTACGCAAGCTGCCACCGCGGCTGCTCAAGCCGCCGCTTTTGCAAGCACTGCTCAAGGTTCCCGACCTATGGGAGTTGGAGACCTTACCAAGGTCTTGCCGAAGCCTGATCCATTCCGGCCCACTACGCGTGATGAGGAGTTTGCGCAATGGCCTCAGTGGAGCTGGACGTTCGAACAGTATTTATCATGCTTGGAACCTGAGTTCAGGCAGCAGACAGCAGTGATCTTGAGTTCTTTGGACGAGAGTGCCAAGCGGCGGTCTCGGCTACTGTACGGCATGTTGAATGGCCTACTGTATGAGCGCGGCAGGCGATTGCTGCGATCTGTTCAGGATCAGAATGGATTTGAGGCCTGGAGGCTTCTCAGCAAGGATCTTATGCCAAAGACTCGCAATCGCGTCTTAGCTTTGTTGCGAACAATCAACAGCTGGCCGTCCTTTGCGGCCCAACAAGGACTTGCTCAGCAACTGCTGCGACTCGAGAGTGCCTTTGAGGAGTATGAGCGCCTCCAGCCAGACAGACTTCCCGAGAACAACAAGATGGCCACGCTCCTCAGTTGCCTGACAGGACAGCTTCGTCAGCGTGCCAATGTAGTCATTTCCGATGACAGCTCTTACAGTGATCTCCGTGAGCTTGTGCTGCGTTGGGATGGAGCTAACACCAAGTGGCAAACCAGTGTTGCTTCGAGTTATGGTCTTAGTGATGGAAAGAAAGGTTTGCATGATACCGGCGATGTTGCGCCGATGGACATAGACCGTGTGCATGCGAAAGGTGACAAAGGCAAAGACCGCAAAGGCAGGCCTAAAGGCGGCAAAGGCGATAAAGGCAAAGACGGCAAAGGCAAGCACAACAAAGGCGGCAAAGGCGATGCAGGCAAAGGCGACAAAGGCAAGAGCAAGGGAGGCAAAGACAAAGGTGGCAATGCAAAGGGCAATTGGCCCTCCGTGTGCAGTTGGTGCCAGAAGCCGGGGCACTACAAGAGGGACTGCTTTCAGTTCAAGGCCTACATGCAAGGCCATCAGAAAGGTGCCCGGCAGGTTCAGGCAAATTCTTCTGCAGCGTCTGAAGCCGGCACCAGCACGACTGCCCCTTCTTCCGCGAGTGCACTTCAAGCCCAGCAAGGTAAGGCAGGACAGTCCACCGTTCGCCGTGTTGCGGCTGAACCACTGCTTTTCGACATGTCTGACCTGGAGGATCCGTTTCCTTATGAGCCCAATGTCTGTATGGTTACTGTGACTGCGCCACAGAGCTTTGCAATGGATTCCCAGGATGATGACGATCAGTGGACTCTGCCTCCTGATGACTATGCTGTGCTTGACTTGGTGCCGAGTCCTGCTACTGCGTGTGTTCGAGCAGTGACCAGTGCAGGCCAGTGCGTGATCATCGACTCGGGAGCCGATATTTCGTGCATCCCTGCGCAAGGCCGCTGCAGGTGCAAGATGCCCAAGGAGGTGCGATGCGTGTGCAAGCAGAGCGCCTAGTTGACTTCGTGCTGTTTGGCGGGTCCCAGCCCGTGGTGATTCGAGAGCGGTGCATTGTTGCAAATGTCACGCAACCACTGTTGAGCCTTGGACGGCTCATGCGCAAGGGATGGTGGCCCATTCGCCAAGGCCAAGGTGACAATGCAGGCGAAGGTCTTATGTGCTTGCGCCACCCGCGGAGTGGCGCCGAGGTGCCCTTGATTTTCAAAGGCTACCCTCTTGCAGTGAATGCTCAGATTCGCCGTGTGGAGCGTGAGGAGCAAGACGTGATGCACTACAATCCAGGTGCAGGTGAGGTCAACAACAACTCTGAGGATGAGGCTAGCGAAGGTGAGCTTCATGCTGGACTCCGACAGTCCAACAGCCAACAACAGGTCCGTGATGCCAACAGCCAACAGCAGGTCCGTGATGCCAACAGCCAACAACAGGTCCGTGATGCCGACAGCCAACAGGTCCGTGATGCCGACAGCCAACAGGTCCGTGATGCCGACAGCCAACAGGTCCGTGATGCCGACAGCCAACAGGCGTGTGATGCCGAATGCAGTCAGTCCCAGTTTCAAGCCACAGGTGTGCTCTAGCAAGCTACATGTTGCGTCCATCCAGGTGCGTTTTGAGGCTACGACCCTTGAGTCTCTCGATTTCGGATGGCAAGTCAGTTCGTCTGGGCACCTGGTGTGGAGAGGTCGCACAAGTAGGTTCATTGATCCGAGTTTCATGGCGCCGATCGGTTGGCCTCTCAGGAGCACCCTCATTTGCCGCAGTGGAACATGGTTTCTGCTTGAACACTGTGTGCCGTGGGCTGACTTGAAGGAGGTTGAAGCAGTTCTGCCCGGAGGACAGGTTGCCGAGGTCATTTCATTTTTGCACGTGCAGGTCGAGCCAGTTTCTGAGATAGGTGTGCAGCTCCCTGCAGGCATGACCGAACCGCAAGGTCTGCCAGAGCCAGATTTTTATCATTTTCGAGCTGAGACTGAGCAAGCGCCTGTCGGGACAGTTGAGCACGATCGTGTGGTGCCTGAAGATGAGGCTATGCAAGGCCTAGAGGATGCAGCTGGACAATCGAGCCCAGCGCCAATGCCGCTGCCCGAACAGCTAGAAGCCGGAGTGCCAGCCGGCAATGTCGAGCCGCTGAGTCTTGATGGTGTGCTCATTTCGCAAGACTCCAGCCTAGCTGTTTTGAAAACTGCAGCAGCCAAGCTCAACCTCAGCACGGCCGGCTCCAAGTCCCGTCTCTTCAGTCGTGTCAAGGGATATCTTGAGAAGCAGCGTTTGGCCTTAGAGTTGGAGCTTGCTGCCGATGCTCAGTCTTCAGGTGAAAGGCAACCAAGGGTTCAGCCTGTAGCGGCCGCTCCCACTGAGGCGGAACGGTTCCTCCATGAATGCACGCATTTGCCTTTCAAGCCGTGGTGCCCACACTGCATCAGCGTGCGAGCAATGCCCGACCGGAGTGAGTACTTGAAGGAGGGCCCCCGCGACAATCCAATTATTCAATTTGATTTTTCATTTTCAGGCTACAGTGTGCCGGACGGCGTTTGCAACCTCGATGCTGCTCCCGAGGACTCCCAGCGTGCACTCAAGTGTCTTGTGGCGCACGACAGCGCTACTGGAATGATCGCAGCGATCCCATGTGAGTCCAAAGGTGATACAAGGTATTTAGGCATTGAGCTTATGAGGTTCATCCAGAGCCTCGGTCACACCACTGTGACTTTGAAGTGTGACAATGAGCCCTCCACTTTGACTCTTCAGCGTGCCATCGTCACGGCCCGGCAACGGCTCGGTTTGCAAACGCTTGTGCAGAATCCTGCTATTGGTGCCAAAGGTTCCCTAGGCTTTTGTGAGAAGGCCATCCACTCAGTGCGGAAGCTCGCAAACACCTTGCTTGATCAGGCCCGTCACCGCACCGGCCTTCCACTACCCACGACACATGTGTTGTTTGCATGGGCGTTTGTGCACAGTGCCTGGCTGCTCAACAGATACAGAGTCATTGGCAACATGACAGCTTATGAAAGGGCCTGTGGGGCTAAGTACAGTGGGCGAATTGCGCCTTTCGCCGAACCCGTCTACTGCCAGCTTGATGTTAAGCAGAAAGGCGACAAGCGGTGGATGCTCGGGATCCTGGTGAGCAAATCCTCGCTCAACGACATGTACATCATTGCTGGCAAGGACGGGATCCGGCTGTCACGATCCATCCGTCGTGTGGGTCAACCGTGGGAGCTTGAAGTTCAGCTCTACCGTGAGCTGAAAGGCTACCCTTGGGACTATGGGAGCGGTGTTATAGGGACCAAGTTTGTTGCAATGCCGAAGCAACGAAATCCTGCTGTCGACCCAGTGCCTGATGTGGCACCACCAAGGTCCCCTGATGAGGCTGCGAGCGAGCCACCGACTCCTGCAGTTGAGGCACTTGGGATGCCGGTTACGCCGTTGGGCGGGGCCGGAGCAATGGCGCCTCCTAGGCGCAATGTGCCTCCTCCTGAAAGTGCTCGAGCAGTTCCAGATGAGAGAATGGCTGTTACAGAAGAGCCTCCTGGGCCGAATCCGTCTATGCGGCCCGATCCACCCAGCACTCCCGAGGCTGAACTGCCACCGTTGAAGAAGCTGCGTATTCGTGCTGTGACTTTTGGTGAGCATTCGTATGAGGTGAATGACGAAGGGGAGTTCGACTTGGATCAGCCCGATGGCTGGGAGGTTCAGACCAAGCTTTGGTCCATGGAGTCCGAGATGGACGACAGTTTCACGAGTGAGCTCAAGGCCGATCCCGAAGCGGAGGTGGCCGAGGATGATGATAGATTGTGGTTTGCTGACAATGGAAAGGAGCCAGAGCTCGATGATGCCATTTTGGCCGAGCTCGACAACCTTGCTGATCAGGTTGAGGTCAGCAGACTGCTGAAGAAGTCTGTGCTGAGAGATGCCACGAGTGATGATGATTTGGCTTCGATGAAGAGCCTCACTACAAAGTTTGTTCGAACGTGACGACACAAGAAGAAGAATGGGATTCCTTCATGGTACCGTCGATCCAGACTCTGTGCTCGAGAGTTTCGGTGGTTGGATGAGTCCAAAGAAGGGTTGTTCAGCCCTGCTACCAGCACGGATATTGTGCGCCTCATTCCGGCGCAGTGGCTGACTTGGAAGCAGACGCGGCCGTCCGAGCAGTATGCCATTTTGGCGCTCGATGTGAAGGACGCGTACCTGGAGGTTCCTCAGCCGACCCCGGTGGTTTCTAAAGTGCAAGGTCGAGATCTCGTGTTCATGCGAATGGTGCCGGGGCAACGCGAAGGATCGCAACAGTGGTTCTCCCACTTCTGCGAGTATCTCGGAGAACACTTTGTGGTTGAAAAGTGCAAAGAGTGCCCTGCGGTAGTGCATGTCAGCAGCAAGCCAGGATCCGATGGAGTTTGTGCAGACAAGGGTCCGGGCATGATTCATGTGGATGACTCTCTACTTCTTTTGCCGCTCCAGTGGGCCCGCGAGTGCTTTCTTCCAGTGATTGAGCAACGGTTTCAGATCACGTATGAGCTTGCATATAAGGTGGGTCACTCCTTCAGTTTTCTCAAGCGTGTACATACGATTACAGATTTTGGCTCAAGCCATTTTGGCTCAAGCTTTCGGCTTGAAGTGGATCTGTGATCCAAAAGTTTTTATCTCTTGTGCTGGTGGGCTAGTAGTCCGTTTGATCTAAAGTGATCTTCTAGTAGAGTAGCGGCGGGCTAGTAGCCCCTTTGATCCAAAGTGATTTTCTGGTAGAGTAGCGGTGGGCTAATAGCCCCTTTGATCCAAAGTGATTTTCTGGTAGATTAGTGCTGGGCTAGTAGCCCCTCTGTCGGGCAGGTAGTTTCTGTAGTGCCATGGACGGTGCCGTAGCAGCGCTACTGGCAGGCAGGCAGCAGTGCTGCCCATGCCTTTCATCCGAAACTTCAGGGCAGTGCCCCGAAGCTTGGGACTCTCATGCGGTTTGCTCACTGTTTAGTAAGCGGTGTTGTGCTGCTCGGTGTCGCTCTGCGGCGGCACTGTTGGTGGTTCTGCAGTTCGGCTTCTGCAAGCAGCAGTGCTGCACGTAACCAGGCAGCAGTGCCGCCGATGCCTAGTATCATACGCCTTAGGTCAGTGCCCTGAGGCTTCAGGTTCATGTTTTTCGTTCTGCAGGCAGGCTGGCAGGCAGCAGCACTGCCTAAGCCTCGCATCCTCAACCTCGAGGCAGTGCCCCGGGGTTCGTGGCCTCCTTGCAGGCATCGGCTGTTCAGTTAACAGGGTGGTTCTGCAGTGCAGCTTCTGCATGCGGCCGTGCTGCGAGTAACCCGGTAGCAGTGCTGCCGAGGCCTAGTGTCAAAACTTCCGGTCAGTGCCCCGAGGCTACAGGTTTTGGTTTTCATGCTGCAGGCGGGAAGGCAGCAGCGCCGCCTACGCCTCGCATCCTAAACCCCAGGGCAGTGCCCCGCTGTAAACAGCGTCCTTGCAGCAGTGCTATTGGTGGTTCTGCAGTTCAGCTTCTGCATGCAGCAGTGCTGCAAGTAACCAGGCAGCAGTGCTGCCGATGCATAGCATTATAAACCTCGGGTCAGTGTCCCGAGGCTCCAGGTTCATGTTTTTGGTGCTGCAGGCCGGCAGGCAGCGGCACTGCCTACGCCTCGCATCCCAACGCCCAGGGCAGTGCCCCGAGGTCTGAAGCCCCCTTCCCGGCATCTGCTGCTTTGTGACAGTGTCCCTGCAGCCGCGCTGTTGGTGGTTCTGCAGTGCAGCTTATGCATGCAGCAGTGCTGCGAGGAGGCAGGCAGCAGTGATGCCGCTACCGTGCGTCCTTAGCCTCAGGTCAGTGCCCCGAGGCTTCAGGTTCATCCGTTTAGTACTGCAGGCACGCAGGCAGCAGCACTGCATACGCCTCGCGTCCTAAACCCCAGGGCAGTGCCCCGAGGTTTCCGCCTTGCAGGCATCTGCTGGTTAGACAATTGTGTCAACAGTATTGTGGCTGCCCATTGCCACTTCTGCGGCAGCGCCGTTGGAGGTTTTGCGTGCAGGTTCTGCACGAGAAAGTGCTGCGAGCAGGCAGGCAGCAGTGCGGCCGATGCCTGGCATCCTAGGCCTCACGTCTGCACCCCAAGGCTCCAGGTGGTCATGCATTCTTCTCTTGTTGGGTGCACCTGCTGGCTTGTGCCTGTGGCAGTGCTGCAAGCACGCACAAGCAGCGCCGCGTGTGCTTGGCCCCCCCAGTGGGGAGGAAGATGACACGCTAAGTTACAGTCGAGGCTTAAGCACGTCCTTGCCTGAGAAGGGCGCGTCAGAAAGAAAATGGAGGCCAGTGGCTACGCCTACCACAAGGATGGTAAAGACAATGGCACGGGTAGCTTTGTTCGCACCCTCAGCGAAGGGAGTAAACACAGGAAAACGCAGCCTCGGCCTGCCAGTGGGAAAGCGCAGGGCCAGCGGCTGCTGCAGCCTCCACGTACGTCGTCGGTCCCGGTGCAATGCCACCTCCTAGCATCACTGTCCGGCAGAGCCATGGACAACGCAGGGCGCACGTGCAACCGGAGTCCATACTGGCACTGTAGCCTTGCAGTACTGGGGTTAGTAACCCTTTGGCCAGCGGCATGCACCGAGGCGTCTTCGGCAGTGCCGTGTCGCTTTGCTTTTTGTTCGCAGCGCAGTCTGCCAGATATCCTCGAGCAGGCCTTGCGAGAGGTATGCAATGAAGAGGTAAGTTATCTCTTGTGGGTTGTGAGCAGTGCCACCCGCGTCGTTGCGGAGGACGTCAGTGACGATCACTCCGATTTCGCCGTTGAATGAGCTCTGGGAGGCCTCGGTGGGGTCTGTTTTCCGCCGTGTCTGACTCACAGTGCAGGCAGGTAGTTCCAAGCCTAAAGTGCTCGTAAATGGTGTGCCTTTTGGTGTGAGGACCCGCTGCGAGTCCCTAAGGGCCCCTGCGTGTCCCTAAGGGCCCCTGCCAGTTGCTAAGGGCCCCCTGCCCGCCTTTTCCTGTGGGCTCGCATTAGTAATGACGAGCTTCTGTGTTGCCTTAAGGCAGTGCCGTGCAGTGCGCGCACAAGGCCCCAGAGCCCGAGCCCTTAATGCAAAGTTTGCATTGGCACCTTGGCCAAAGCTTGGCGTCGCTGGTATGTACCTTTGCTGTCTAGCCTGCGACGACAGCTAGTACCTTTTTGCGTTCGTGACGAGCCGCCGTGGCGGCGAGCGAAGAAAACTCAAAAACCTTAATGCCCTAACCCGTGTGCTGCCTCTCCCACTGTAAGCAATGTAATTTCGAGCAGTGATTTCTTGAGAGAAGAAATTTCCTTGAAGAGCATGTGAAATGTCCACGTCGTGTTACATTGATGCTCAAGAGTGGGAGATGGGTCTTGAGTTTTTCTACAGCAAAAACCATTCGCTTCGTGAGTGACGCCAGCACGGACTCGGCAGTGCCGCTTGTCCCTCGATTCCTCCAGTGTGCTCAAGTGGATGTTCGTGAGGATGTCAACATTAGGAGATAAGTTATCTCCTTTTCGCAGTCATAAATATGCTGGATGTCAGCTGGGGGGCAGTGTCCCGAGGCCTGAGGCCGCCCTACAGGCTTCTTAGTTTTCAGTAAACTGTGTTGTGAATGCTCCATGCTGTCAAGTTTTGGCGCGGACTGCTCCCGCAGGTCCTTCAGTGCAGCTTCGGCAGGCAGCAGTGCTGCCGATGCCTCACTTCCTAAACCCCGGGGCAGTGCCTCGAGGAGTAGGGCCCTCCGCTTGATTCTTGGTGGTTAGTGCACTGTCTGCCAATGCTTGGTGTGGGTCCAGGCTTTCGTGCGGAGTCCGCAATAAGCTCTGAACCTCTGCTCTTGTTTTCCCCCAAGGCAGCCGTGCGTGTAGCAGTGCTACAGGCATGCAGGCGGCAGTTTTGCCTGCGCATCCTACACCTCAGGGCAGTGCATCGAGGCTTGCACTCCTTCGCCTGCTTCTTGCTGTTTAGTAAACAGTTTGTCAATGCTTGGTGTCCGTCAGGGTCTTGTTGTTAACTCCGCGCTAGGCCCTGCGACCGTTGCTGTTGCAGGGTCGGCCCCCAAAGCATGTTGTTCGCAGCGCAGTGCTGCAGGCACGCATGCAGCGGTGCTGCTAATGCCTCGCCTCATACGCCTGAAAAAAGTGCCCTGAGGTTTGAGGCCTTCAGACTTTCGAGTGTAGCGTGGTTTGTAGCCGTGTTACGTGTCAGCATGCAGCAGCGCTGCTAATGTCTGGCATACTTATCCTCAGGGCAGTGCCTTGCCCAAGCAGGAAGTGTTTTTGCATGCTTCCTACTGTTTGGTCCACAATGCTGCGACGCTTCGTCCCGGTTGGGATTTTGGTGCGAAGTTCGCGCAAAGCCCTGTGGATGTAGCAGTGCTACAGGCAAACAGGTCGCAGTGCTGCCGTTGCCTCTATCCTAAACCTCAGGGCAGTGCCTCGAGGCTTGGAATGTTCACGTGGCTCCCTGCTGTTTCGTGAGCAGTGTGACAACGATGTTGCCGGCCGTGGTTTTGGCGCGGCGTTCGGTTTGGTAAACAGTTATGGCAATGCTTCGTCCCGGTCGGGATTTTGGTGCGAAGTTCGCGCCAACCCTGCGTATGCAGCCGTGCTGCAGGCCAGCAGCAAACAGGCATGTGATGTGGTTTCTTTTCGTTTCGCAAATAGTGTGGCATCGTTTGTTTTGGTGCGGCGTTCGCGTCGAGCACCGCGGTCGCTGCTGTCCTACAACGCAGCGTAAACGTACGGCCGCGCTAATGCCAAGCATGCAGCAGTGCCGCTGATGCCTCGCATGTCAAACCTCAGGGCAGCGCCCCGAGGAGTGCAGGCGGAGCGTGCGGTCCTCATGCACGTTCCTTCCCGTTTAGTAAACAAACAGCCAGGTTTAGTGCAGGTCGCGTGCCTCATGGCTTGAGATCTTCATGCATGCTGCTCACTGTTGAGTAAGCAGTGATGGCGGTGCCTGTTGCCCGTCAAGATCTTGGTGCGGAGTCCGGCTGTTGCTGTTGCGGGGCTTCCAGTTTTGTGCAGCAGGGCTGTCGACAAGCAGGCAGCAGTGCTGCCGTTTCTTCGCATCCTAAACCTCAGGGCAGCGCCCTGAGGCCTGCGACCTTCATGCGGGCTCCGTACTGTTTAGCAAACAGTTAGGCCACGCTTGACGTCGGTCATGGGTCTTTGTGTGGAGTACGCGCCAGGCCCTGCTGCCGCTGCGGCACACCCCAGCAGTTTCGAGCAGTGCTCAACCTGCTAGGGAAGCGATGCAGTGGTCATGCAGCCATTTTTAAGGGCAGTGCCCACAAAGCACTCTCGGGTCGATGGGCAGACAGCGTGCGTTCCTGTGGCAGCGCCACTGCTGCACGAGTGGGCCTGGGCCTATTGGTCATCCCAGGGCAGTGCCCGGGACCGCAGGCATCTCAAGCAGGCTTGGCAGTTGCAGTGCCTCATGCCCTGCCTTGACGAGGCGCATCGCCCCAAGCAAATGCTTGCTCGTAAGCAAACTCGCCTCTGTGTGCTTCCTGGGCTACCGCCGGTCCAGCCCAGCGCTCGGACAGTGTCTGCGGCCTCTCTACGCCCGGTTTTCTAACTGGACAGTGTCTATAATGACAGTTGCAGACTCGGAGGGCTCCAGCAAGCAAGTCCTCGCGCGTCCGTGATGCGCAACCCACGCGCCCTCTGAGTCCGTGACGTGTGCCTGTGCGTGCTTCCAAGACGCAGGTGGCACCTTTGGCTGCAGCGCAGGAGCCGTTGCTTCTCAGCTCTGAGCAGCACCAGCAGAGATTCGATTTCACCGCGTGACTCACAGTGTGAGCAGGCAGTTTTAGGCTTCAAATTGTGTGCGAATGGCCGACTTTTTGGTGTAAGGGCCCGCTGCGAATCCCTAAGGGCCCT